TTTCCTTAAGTCTACTTATATCTAGAAAAGCACTTTGTCTGGTACCACTTGGTCGTCTGTACTTTTTTGTTTGTTTCTTTTGGGGACCAGGTTTCTCTGTGTAACAGCCCTAGCTGTCCTGCAATCCACTTTGTAGACCAGGCTGGCCTCCAACTCACAGAGATCTGCCTGCCTCTGCTTCTTGAATGCTGGGATTAAAGGCATGCACCACCACACCCAATTAAACTGTTTTTTTTTTTTAATTGCAGGGTCTGTTGACATTCAGGGATGTGACTGTGGACTTCTCCCAGGAGGAGTGGGAATGCCTGGACTCTGCTCAGAGGGCTTTGTATATTGATGTCATGTTGGAGAATTACAGCAACCTGGCCTCTGTGGGTGAGAACATTTTGCTTGTAGAATTCTTAACCCATCTTTGTTTGTTCTGACTCTATAGACTATAAAAGCTCTGATTAGCTGTCTTGGAAACAACAGGAGACTAGGGAAAGCTTGGTAGTAGAAAAAAACTTTTATGGTATATGAAAAACAAAATAAAACCTTTGATATTTTTTAAGTAAGTCTTTAATCTTAAAAGGAATTGGGTCTTCTGAACTGTACCCTTTCTTGCTAAATAAAAGCTAATTACTGATTCCACAATTAATTATTTGATCAACCTTGATGGATTTCATTCTGTTTCTCTGAGATTTCATACAAGTATCGTGAATGAAAATTGTTGACTACTGAAAGCTGTGTTCTAGTCGTTGCTGGTTGACCTAAGAGAGAACTGAAGGAGACAGTCATTTGTCAAATGTTTAGTCTTGGGACAAATTCTATTAATCTGAATTGCACTCATTTTCAGAGAACTATTGCATATGTGATCCTGTCCATCAACATGTGAAGACTGAAAAGGAGTCTTGTCAGTGTAATGAACTTGGCAAAGTGCTTCACGACCTCTCCAAATATGCACTTTATAGAACAAATGAAACTACAGAAAATTCTAATAACTACACATGCAGTAACCACAGGGATGCCTCTATTGACTCATCAAACCCAGACAGACATGAAAGCATGCACACTGGAGATGACCCTTGCAAATTTAAAGACTATGGGAAATCTTTAAATTTGTGTTCCAACATTACTCATGATCAGAGACTCTACACTGCAAAGAAAGAGCACAGGCAGGTAGAATATCATGACTATTTTACCTCTGTATACAGTCTGTTGCAAAAAACAATCTTCACTGGAGAGACACTACACCAGTGTGGGAAATTCCGGAAATGCTTCAGTACTGCCTTAAGCCTCAGTGTACCCCAGAGAATTTCTACTGGAGAGAAGCCCCACAACCGCAACATTTGCAACAAATCCTTTAACCAGTGTGCAGATCTTGAAACATGTCCAAGACTCCATACTGGAGAGAAGCGGCACTTGTGCAGTGAGTGTGGCAGATCTTTTACTCACTATTCATCATTTAGAAGGCATCAGAAAATTCATTCTCTAGATATAGTGTATGAGTGTAAAAAATGTAGTAAGTCATTCCATGAATTATCACATCTTAAAACACATCAGAGAATCCACACTGGTGAGAAGCCTTACAAATGTGAGGTCTGTGACAGATCCTTTACCCAGCGTTCAAGTCTGAAAACACATCAAAGACTCCATACTGGCGAGAAACCTTACAAATGCAAAGATTGTGGGAAGTGTTTTCCACAGCTGTCAGCATTTCATAGCCACCAGAAAAGGCATACTGGAGAGAAGCCTTACAAATGTAAGGAATGTGACAAATCCTTTGCCCACTATTGCAATTTCAGGAGACATCAGAAAATGCATACTGCTGAGGAACACTGTAGTTGTCAAGAATGTGGCAAGGTCTTTCATCAGCTTTCACACTTTAGAAGACATTACAGAATCCATACTGGTGAGAAGCCTTACAAATGTGAGGTGTGTGACAAATCCTTTACCCAGGACTCAACACTTAGAAGACATCGGAAAATTCACAGTGGGGAGAAACCTTACAAATGTAAGGAATGTGATAAATCCTTTACCCAGTACTCAACTCTTAGAAGACATCAGAAAATTCATACTGGGGAGAAACCTTACAAATGTAAGGAATGTGACAAATTCTTTACTCGGGATTCAAATCTTAGAAAACATCAGGAAGTTCATACTGGAGAGAGACCTTACAGATGTAAGAAATGTGACAAATCTTTTACTAAGTGCTCAACTCTTAGAAAACATCAGAAAATTCATACTGAAGAGAAAAATACTGTTTTAAATTATGTGACATAGCATTTATACAGTATTCTATGCTTACAAATCAAAACAGTATACATAATAGAAACATACATAGCCAGGAGTGGTAGCATACAACTTTAATCCCACCACACAGGAAACAGAGACAGGGGGATCTCTTGAGTTCTGAGTTTGAGGCCAGCCTAGTCTACAGAGTTTCAAGTTTCAAGTAGTCAGAGCTACACCAAGAAACCCTGTCTCAAAAAAACAAAAAATAAATAAATAAATAACGTAGAAAGATACATAAAGATAAACTTGTGAACCTCTTTAAGGAATATTTAAATCTTAGAAAGTATCACAAAGTTTTTGTTGAATAAAATTTTACAAATGAAATGTCTTTTTCTTTCATTTTCATTTCATTTTTTTGTTTTGTTTTGTTTCTTTTTATGTATATGGTTGTTTATCCTGCTTGTATTACTGTACATTACATGTATGCCTGTTGCTTTTAGATGTCAGAAGAGGTCATCATATCCCCTGTTGCTATAGCTACAAACAGTTGTGCACCTACATGTGTGTTGGGAAATGAACCCTGGTCCTTCAACCCCTGAGAAATGCTATAATAAAAATATTTATCTTGTTCAACATCCAAAAATTAATAATAATGCCAGGTGTGGTGATGCATGCCTTCAATCCATGCACTCTGGAGGTAGAGGCAGGTGGAACTCTGTGAGTTCAAGACCAGCCTTATCTACAGACCAAATTTCAGAATAGCCAGGGCTACACAAAGAATTCCCCAAAATCTTCTAAAACTAACCAAAACCTTGGGTGGGGAAGAGAGAGACAGAGAGAGAGACAGAGACAGAGAGAAGGAAAAGAAAAAAGAAATCCCTGAAAGTATGTGTGAATTTGTTTTGAAGTACTGAGAATAGTATGTTGAAGAGTTTACTCCAAACTCTAAATAAAAAATGGTACTGCTCCCATTAACTGCCAGTAGACCTTTAAGAAGGAAAGGACTCTTGGGACTCTGCCTCAGCCATGATGAAATGGTAATTACCCAATCTTACATGGTTGCTGTTGTCAGCACTGTACTACCCATTACCAACTACAAGAGGAATCTTCTTTCACCAAGGCTGAGAGTAGTATAAATTGATAATTATAAACATGAATATTTAGATGGCAGATAACAAGATCATGTACAAAACATCTATAGGTTCTGCCTTTGGATTTTTCATTCCCAAGCCATGTTTTTTGACCCTGTTACAGTACTAGGCATGAGTTCCCCTATGGAGCAAGCCTCAAATCCAATCAGGAGAGAGGTTGGTGATGCCCATAAGCAGTAATGCCAGTGTTGCAGCAGTGCACACATCCTGGCTTGTCAGTTGGTATTGTAGGATGCAGGGTCCAGGTGAAGATAAGACCATTGACATCTTTTCTTTGCAGGCCTGTGAAACCTGGCCAGCAGGACATCCCTGGTAAGTTCTAGTTTGCTCTCCCTCTATCATATAACCAAAGTATTTGGTGTCTTCAGTTACACCCTGTTGTAGATGTAACCAACCGTCTTATTAAATAAGTAACACAGAAACAATGTAAAAGAGAAAGCCAAGAAGTCAGAGCTCAGAGCTAAAATCTCACCCTTCCTCCTGCTGTCCCAGCTTCCCAAAAGAGAGCTATTTCCTTGTGTGTCAGTCGGTTCCATAGTCATTCTGCCTTCTCATTGGTTGTAAACCCAAACACGTGACTGCCTCTTCACTGTCTGAATGTACAGCCCCCTAGGTCTTAAAGGCATATGTCTCCAATGCTGGCTGTATCCCTGAACACACAGAGATCTATGGGATTAAAGGCATGTGCCACCACCACCACCACACTCTGTCTATGGCTCTAATAGCTCTGATCCCCGGGCAACTTTATTTATTAACATACAATCAAAATCACATTTCAGTACAATTAGAATACCACCACACCCTGTACTTATGGTGGCCAAGTAAGAGCACTGGCAATGACCTGTTTTGTTTGGGATTCCACTGGGGCCTCCCTGACCAGAAAGGCCTAGGCAGATAATCAATACCTGGTACAATGAGTTCTGTTTAATACCCATGGTGTCTGGGAACAGCATTATTTACCCATGTACGATCCCTCTGTTCAAAGTTTTAAAAATTGTATTTCCTATTAACTTGTAAGACAGTGGGATTTCATAAGCTTCAGATGTCCTCTTGGTTGACCCTCCAATTCTTCCTCCTTTCTTCCTGCTCTATGCCCAGTTAAACATTTAGTACACATTATCCAATGCTCATTATTTCATACCACAAATGTTCTACTATCCTCTATTATTATACAATAATATCCACTTATATTATCTACCTGGGTTGCAAAATGGGTTCCCATGTAGTTTCTTCATAGACATCTCACTTGAGTTGACCCTTCAGCAGGCCCCCCCCTTACCACCACTGCACTACACACTTGAACCATTCAGCCCCCTGAATACCCGCTCACTCATTTCATATCACCTGTATTGTACCTACCACCCTCTCTTCCTGCTTCCTGACTTCTTCATGTAGTATACCACTTGAATACAAGACAAAAAGGAGTGGTTACTATGTATGAGCTTCCTCTGAGATTCAACTCTTTCTTGGAGGAAGCCCCTCAAAAGTCAGGATATTAAAAGGTAAAGGAATGGGATGCTCTAGTGAGAGGTAAAATACTTCATTCTGCAGAGAAAATCACGAAGCTTAGAAATAGACAACTTAATAGTTTCTGGAAGTTGCAGAACTTGGCAAGATTCATTAGTGCTCTCCTACCTCATGAGCATATGTATAATCAGTAAGGACTGCTGACACTGTCAGACAAGCTGAGCTGCACAGAAGATGATCAGAACAGCCATGAAGCAGACACAGTCAAGCTGTCTGGACCAGACAAGACAGGGCAGTCTGACTGGAGGAGGTAGTGAGTGGCTTGAAAGACACTTCCGACCTCCCCTGGGCTGCCTGCAAGCTGTGCATGATCCCCAGGTTTCCAGCATTATTAGCCATCACCCACAGAGTGTCATAATGCAGCTGTCATAAGTCCTTTATGTTTCTCTAAGTAACCCCTCACCCACACTCCTGCAGGTTACCCCCCCCCCAAAAAAAAAAAACTCACAGGTTCACTGTGCTTAGGGATGACTCAGTGGTTAAGAGCACTGTCTGCTCTTTCAGAAGACTCACTTAGAATCCCAGCACCCTTACACAGGCACTCAATCTGTAACCTCAAATCCAGGGCATCCAGCATACTCTTCTGGCCTCTGGGGGCACCAGATACACACATGGTGCACAGACAGGCATGCAGACAAAACACCTCTATAAAGATAAAGGAGCCTCACTGTTTATCACGTTGGACTCCATTGGTTTCCCAATTTTGGTTTGTCATTGGTTCCTTATCTGTGATAAGTAGATGTTCATCATTGTTTCCACAGGAAGAGTGTCACACATCTGTTCTGTAATTGGGGTCACAGTAGTTTTCTTACTTTCATTTTTTCTTTCTTTTTTTTTTCTTTTTTGAGATCATCTAGACTGATTTTAAAAGTTCACCTTCTACTTCTCATCCCAGACCAGTGTATGACCTCCTTTCCCCACATTTATGCCTATGTTATCATTTCTATTCCTGATTTAGCCATTCTAACTAAGGTGATATGGGAGCTTAAAGGAGCCCTACTCTGTGTTTTCTGATAGGTATAAAACCTTTTTTTAAAATTTGGGTTTGTTGTTTGTTCCTTTGTTTTATATTTGCTTTTGTTTTTACTGTTTTAGTTTTGAGATTATTATATAATTATATTATTTCACCTCTCGATTTCCTCCCACAAATCCTCCTATATACCCCTCTCTGATCTCTTTCAAATTCATGGCCTCTTTTTTCCTTAATTGTTATTGCACACTGATGTATACATGTAGATACATATATATTTCTCAATATAACTTACTCTCTTCATACAATGTTACTTCTATGTATGTTTTCAGTGCTGACCATTTGGTATTAGATAATCAGTTGGTTTGCCCTTCTCTGAGGGACACCATTTCTCCTGCTCCCAGCATTCCCCAGTTGCCTGTAGTTCTCTGTGTGTGGTTGAGGCCTTGCGGGCTTTCCCCATCCACTTTCACTGTCCATTGTTGTTGTCCTTGATCAGTTCCCATTTGGGCAGTCATGTTGGGAAGATTTTATGGGTATTGATTCTGGTCTTACTAGGACACACAACTCCACAGTAAACTTCTTAATCCTCTAGCTCTTACAATCTTTCTACCCCCTCTTCAAAAATATTCCTTTAGCCTTATGTACAGGAGTGTTTTGTAGATGTAATCCAATGAGTCTGGCCTCCACAACTCTGCATTTGATTAGTTGTGAGTTTTTTTTTTTTTTGTAGTGGCTTCTGTCTGTTGCAAAAAGAAGTTTCCTGATGAGGGATGAAGATCATGCTTATTTGTGGGCACAAGGAAAAATGTTTAGATTCTTGTTAGGGATTATGCTGGTTTAGTAAAGTAGTGGTTGTAGGTTCTCCTCCAAGATTCACCACTTCATCAGCACCAGTAGGTAGCTAGAGTTGCAGCACCAGTCATGGTTTCCCTTTTGTTAAAAGGATCTTAAGTCCAACTCGAGAGCTGTTTCTTACCACAAAGGTATGCTTGCCACTGCTGCACCCTTAGGGCAGTTGTGCCAGGATGATCATTGATGTGGTTCATAGGCACCATAGCTGGTTAGGACTGTTGTTTGGCTCCCTCCTCTGGAAGTTTATATGGTGCTTCCAGAGCTATTTCTCAGGAAGGAGTTTATTTTACGACAGGGTTTCTCTGTGTGTTGCCAGCTCTCCTAGACTCACTATGCAGACCAGGCTGCCATTGAACTCAGAATTCCCCTTGCTTCTGCCTCCTGTGTGCTGGGGTTCAAAGGCTTGCATGACCTTGCCCAACTATACATAACTTGTTGTTATCCATTTCATAATTTCGTTATGAACATCATAGCTTTTTGTTACCCATGTGATAACAATTACCAAGTTAACTGCACAGCCTACTTGAAATGAGTTAAAAAGTGGATTTTATGTCTACTAACATTAAGACTTCTATTCCACTGAGTTGGAAACTCTAATGGAAATAGATGAGTTTCCAGGTGCATACAACATACCAAATTTCAACAACATGATATAAATAATGTAAACAGAAGTACAAGTAGCCATGAGACTGAAACAGGAATAAAATGCCCCCTTAAGACAACCCCATGACCAGATTGACAGATTCCATCAGAACTACAAAGAACAGCAAAGCTACTTAAAATACTTCTTGACACATAAAGGAAGACTTCCTGATCTTAATATTACCTGTTATTAAACCAGGCACTGATACAACCAAAAAGAAATTACAGACTGACGTGGTCATTTTAAAAAATATTATTAGCTCTCTCTCTCTCTCTCTCTCTCTCTCTCTCTCTCTCTCTCTCTCTCTCT